GGAAGATAAAAAAAATACTTCTTGTTACATTCATTATCACAACAAGGGAATATAAAGAGATGTGTTCAAGGTAACTACCTAGAGTGGTCGTCTAGAATCATGCCACTAACAAGAGTTGTGTAAAAGTAAATAACTGAAACAAAATAACTTAAAGAAAACTAACTAATTATTCTAGTAAAACGCAGGCTTGTATCATTACTCCCCCCTTCAATGGCAACCTTGCCCTCAAGGTTGAAGGTAGGATATGTGGAGTCGTGGAGATGGAGCCTCTGTTTCCAAGGTAAGAAGTGAATCAGGTGGATCTTCATCCACTTGCAAAAGTAGGAATGGGGTTGTTTTGCAGCGATGGTCAGGCTTGAACTGATCATCGCAATTAAAACAAAGACCCTTTGCACGACGAGTCGGCATCTCTGTTGGTGTGAGGCGGCGAATAGGAAATCCAGAAGGTGATGTGGTTTGTGGAGGAGCAGACAAAACAGAACGTTGGTCTTGATAGTTGGCCTCAATCAGTTTAGCAAGCTTGATGGCTTGAGACAAAGTGCTAGGATGGTGAATGTTGAGTTCCTGTTGAATATCCAAACGAAGACCAGAAACAAACAGATTAAGAAGGTGCTCATCAGAAAGCCCTGCAACCCGGTTGGAAAGAAGCTCGAAATCTGCTTGATAAAGAGCCACTGTGCTTGTTTGTCGAAGTTTGAACAATGCAGCTTGAGGATTGAGAAATTTTGAAGGGCCAAAACGCACCTCCATAGCTCTAGCAAAAGCACTCCAATCAGAAAATTGTTGATTCATATGCATCCATTGAAACCAAGCCAATGCTTCTCCAGTCATGAAAAAGGCAGCGAGTGGGATTCTTTGGGTAGGCTGAATCGAATAAAAAGCAAAGTATTGTTCAGCTTGAAAGAGCCAAGCGTGAACATTAGTTCCATCAAAAGTATTTAGAATAAATTTGGGTGTTTTGGGTTGAATGGTTGAAGGAGGTTCTGGAAAAGAAGATTCGTGGGAAGAAGAAGAAGTTAAGGCGGTAGAAGGCTTGCCAAGAATCGATGGCAGAGGAGGAAGGGCAGGCCCTGGCTCAAGACGAGAGATTTGGGCGTGAAGATCAGAGATGAAGGAAGAACAAGACTGAGAAACATTGTCAATCTTGGTTTCCAAGGACTGTTTAATATCCTGGAGTTGCAAAGCAAGGTTGGCAATGGCGTCAGGAAGATTGGTTTTGGGAGGCATGGTGAAAAGAACGAGAGCACCAATGTTAGGAGAGCAGAAAGTTTAGGAGGAAAAGAAAGGGGAAGAATAAGATAGACGGAGCAAAGGAAGAAGAGAACAGAAATTTTGGAAGATAAAAAAAATACTTCTTGTTACATTCATTATCACAACAAGGGAATATAAAGAGATGTGTTCAAGGTAACTACCTAGAGTGGTTGTCTAGAATCATGCCACTAACAAGAGTTGTGTAAAAGTAAATAACTGAAACAAAATAACTTAAAAAAAACTAACTAATTATTCTAGTAAAATGCAGGCTTGTAGCAGGGCTCTACCAATATGTGAAGAGCTTCAACCATAAACTCAAGGTTTACAAATCTACTCCAAGAAACAAATAATAAATAAAAAGCCTTAATTCAACACCCTAAAATTAACACAATCTCTAAAATCTATTCAAATGTATAGTAGAATATTATTGACAGGACAATTAGGTCGTTACACCAAGAGCTTTATACAAACATAATTCTCTTCCTACAAGAGCTACCTTTACTCATGAAGACTAAGATCCAAAGGAATAAACAAACTAATTGGCAAAATAAAAAAGAGTCCCATTTTCTTTCTTCCTTTATATCTGCAATTGCCAAAAGGGAGGGACGTGGAGGATATGATTCATTCATTTTGAATGAAGGATTCATAGCTCCACTCTATCGTATAAAGGTATGTCTATTTAAGATTTCAAACTACATTTGTCTCATGCCTAACTCCTGCTATGCCACTGAATTCCCATAGACAACAATTTTATTAATGAATCTGATACTGAGTGATTGCCCCTTACATGATTAGTCATCAAGTTGACTTTTCCTTTCGAGATGTAGGTAAATGCAATCCAAATGAAACAGACAGTGGAGGAGAATAGAAGCACTACTGAAAGAGTATTTCAAGACCTTCAATATCGGGTTCAAATCCAACAAATACTAATTATTTAGTTTTATACCATTGTCTAAAAAATTCACCTACTTATCGACTATAAAAAGCACAAGTGCAGAAGGTTTGCTCTGTTACTTAAAGTATTGAGTATTGACTAATTAATCTTTATACTAATAAATGTAAGGTCTTCATTTGAAGAGCACAATTCCATCAACTAGCTATCACGTGAATAAAGAATTAGCAAGCAAGTTCACATCATGTAGGTAAAGATCATCAATTACAATAAATCAAATTGCATAAAAAAAATTAGCATATTTATTTGGAGTATTGATAATAATTAATCAAGAACAAACTAATCAATATGGTTTAGAAAGGCAAAAGGAAAATTTGAACAATGAATAAGGAACAATTAATTGGAATTAATATACCTATTTTGAGGAATTAATTCAAATCCAGAGCCTATCAAGACTGGTGGAGCTAGTGCATAAAAGACTTTCGAGTTGAAGAGAAACCAGATCAGATAGGGTATCCGAATAAGTGAAAAAAAATGAAAGAAAAAAAGAAGAGAGAAAAACCCAATGGAAGAACCTGTGTAGTATATGTTGAAGAACAAGGAGATAAGAAATCTGAAGAAAACAAAAAGGAAAGAAAGAACGAACCCTAGTTTTGATCGAGAGGGAGAGTCTGCTTCAAAGACATCGACTAGTGAAAGAATATTAAAAAAAAAATAGACAAAATCAGCCTCATTTTCGTTGGTGACAAATCGAAGCAGAGACCTCATTAAAACCCACTATTCATCAGCGTGTTTTGTGTTTCCAAAACACTTTGAAAAAACATGGAAACAGAAAAATACTACTTCCGCTTTTTTTTGAAAACATTTGATTTGTTGCCAAATTTTTAAAAACAAAAACATCTATCTAAATATGTTTTTGTGTGTTTTGTTTCCAAATTATGGAATTGGCAACAAGAAAACAAAAATAACAACAATGCCAAACAGGCTCTTATTTTTTGACAAACCGTTAGTTACATGACGAGTAACGAATCATGACTAACGACCGTAAAAAATAATGACGTGGTTAATTTAAGTTAACTTTTTAGGTCACATGGCATATGAGGCCTTTTCTATTTCTTATATTATTTTTATCATTTGAGTAGCATATGTGACGTAGATTTTTTGCTAACGTAAAAATTCCATGTTAATCTGGTTAACGATCGCATATCAAAATTAACAGTCATTAGTCACACTCGTTAATCATGGCCTTTCAAGAGAGACTAACATGGGAGATTTTTGAAAGAAATGTATTTATTTTTTAAATGAATGACTTAGGCCCTGTTTGGTGCATCGTTTGGGTCGGTTAGTGGCCAAAACGGTCTACCAAACACTTTTTTTCGGTGGGATCAGTTGACCTCCATTAAACACATGTTTTTCAACCACCGAGAATATTCTCATTTGTACAGTAAAAAAATTTATCTGTACAGTAACAAATCTAACACGTACAGTAACCAATTTTACTCTCACCAAACCAATTTCACCGGTATACCAAACAGGGCCTTATTGGTCCCAAATAAAAAAAGGTAAATTTTTTTTTAGCATTTAAACATATTCTAAATTATCTGGACAATTAGATACTTTCATGTAAAGTGTAATTGAATTGAGTCAAGTCAGAAAAGGGTTAGACTTAGAGTTTTTTTTTGGAATAGACTTGGAGTTTGGCCAAAATTAAAAACTTGACACTCAAACTTTGTCTTTTGGACATGAACTTGACTCGAGTTATAATTAGAACCACTCATATTGAATTTGATTAGGTTTCATCGCCCTTAGTTTAAGTCCAATTACCTAAAACTAATTAATTCAAATTTCGAGTTCAACATGAAATCATAAGAAATTTTTCAGTATTTATAAGGAAATATTTATATCATGGGTAATCATAAACCTAAACTCAAAACTTAAAACTTTAAATATTACCTCAGAATCTATTAAAGCTAATAAAATTACAAATTATTTTTTTTTATATATTTACAAGTTAATCTTGTTCGAGCCGAGTCAACTCACTATTGGGGTAAAGCTCTCCCAACAATAGTTTTTTCAATTCACAAGACTCGAACCATAAAATTACAAACTAATAATCGTTGTGATTAATGGATATTCCTAAACATCCGTTATATTATATTCTTATATACTTAATTATAATATAAAAAATATTTGACGTCAATATGAGGCCTCTTATGTGGAAAATATTATGAACATCTAGAGTACTACTACCGAAAGTCAAGTACTTTATATATGGAGAAGAGGTCTCTTATGTGGAAAATATTATGGACATCTAGAGTACTACTACGGAAAGTCAAGTACTTTATATATGGAGATTAATTTGGTGTATCCTACGGTAGGATTCCTACCAATTAAGTTGATCTTGAATCAACGGGGAGCTCAATTAGACTTGGTGTGCGATGTTTGTGGTGCTTCAGCCGAGTCTCTTTATCACGTTTTTTGTTTGGGGGAATGCTTGTGAATCACGTAACATCAAGCATTACTAAATCTAAACTCTAAAACCTTAAATTCAAGCTTAATTCAATTCTCAAATAGTCACAAAAGTCAGTCTTGGGCTAAAGTCCCTATCAGCTCCGGAAATTTCGCAAATCTTCTTTTCGCCTTGGCGGCGGTGAATGGAAAACCAACATGAACGATCAGGGGAGGAGGATGATCTCCTTGCCCGAAGCACAAAAAAGATCAAGGCGATGGCAGATGATAATATTGGCGATGGTGTTGACTTTGTAATGGATGATCAGGTGGAGGGTGAAGCTTTGGAACAAAATTTTACAGAGGCGGAACAGAAGATGATGTCGTAGAGGTTGCTAAAGGAACGGATATGACAACGCCTGTGGAGGAGGTGCTGAAGCAGTCTTTCCGTGATAAGGTGAGAGGGGTTTCTCGGGCGAAAACTTTCGATGAGGAGGATCGTTTTGGTGCTTTGGATATGAATGATGGGCTTATTGAGATATCGACCAAGGATTCTTGGCCAGCAATCCGAACCACTCCTAAGTTGAGAGAGTTTTTGCACAAGAAGTGGCGCAATTGCCTAATTGTGAAGCTTCTTGGCAGAAACATAGGCTTCAAAACTTTAGAAAATAAGGTGATGGGTCTATGGAAGCCGATGGGAGATCTTGAACTCATTGAGTTAGGAGAGGGTTATTTTATTGCTAAGTTTTACCTGGAGGATGATATGAAATTTGCACTGGAAGAAGGACCTTGGGTAATTTTTGGCCACTATCTTACAGTAAGCCGTTGGAGGCCTGATTTCCGACCTTCAGAAGCGGCCATTCACACAACAGCAGCATGGATCAGATTCCCGGAATTGCCAGTTGAATTTTATGATGAAAGGTTTCTTCTTGCTTTGGGTAATACTGTTGGTAAGGAAATCAAAGTGGACAGGAATACTCATTTTGCTTCTAGAGGTAAATTTGCTAGAGTTTGTGTGGAAGTCGATTTGACTAAACCCCTTGTACCAAAGGTTTATGTTGATGATCGTTGGACAAGAGTGGAGTATGAGGGGTTACCTCTTATTTGTTTCCAATGTGGATATGTTGGACATCGGAATTGTAAGATAGATGTTGTGTCTGCCGAGACTGTAAATGTTCCAGGGGAGACAGGTAATGGTGAGAAACCTGCAAAAGGTGATACTACGGCCGTGGTCGAGGCTCATGTACAAGTTGAAGGGTCTGTTATGGATGGTGTCGAAGCACCACGGGATAAGGCAGTGGAATCTGCTTATGGGCCTTGGATGGTGGCTCAACCCCGTAGGCAACGAGGTCCGACCAAAAAGATGGCTGATCCTACATGGAAGCAACATGGGACTAATGATGGTAATACGGGGTCACGATTTGCTGCCTTAGCAAATCTCCAGGAATCTGAAAATGGCGCGCCAATTACTGGATCAGGTTCGAAGTCGACATCAAATTTTGTCAAAGAATCTAGGCCTATAATTAGTGGGAGTACTTCAAGGTATAAGGTGCATGGAAGTACAGGTAGGCCACGACAAGAGCCTAAAAGTAGTGGGGTTCTTGCGCCAAAAAATTTGGTTCATGAAGAGGTGGGTGCTATTCCAGCTTTCTTGAATAAATTTAGTGAGAAGAGTAGAGAGGTTATGAAAGAGAATTCTTTATCAGTGGTGGACACAGACAGTAACTTGATGGTGATTGACGAATCTTTATTAAGGGAGGAGGAGGCAGTGGGGGTAATAAAAGCTGGTAACCAGCAAACATTTCCCTCATTGTCTTCTGATCACAGGACTCGAGATCCCCTAACACTCAATCATTTACGGTAGTGCCTGAAACGCAAATGGTTATTTCGAATATGAATATTGATTCTGGTAGTGACTCTAGACAGAGGATGGATGAGGTTGCTTCTCCCGGAAAGCATGGTAATCTGGGGAATCCTGATCAATTTATTTAATGAATATTCTACTATGGAATAGTAGGGGAGCCGGGAGTAAAGCTTTCCGAAGAAATAGTAGAGAGTTTTTGTGGTTGTATAGACCGCATATTTTTATTGTTGTTGAACCAAGAATTTCTGGTGATCGTGCGAATCGAGTAGCTAAGAGACTTGGGTTTTCGGATTATCACATTGTTGATCCAGTGGGTTTTTCGGGTGGTTTGTGGATTTGTTGGGATAGTCAATATGTACAGTTAGAAATTTTGTTCTCCTCCACTCAAGTTATTCATGTCATTGTTAGAGTTGGAGATGAGCAAGAATGGCTTTTATCGGCAGTTTATGCAAGCCCAGTATTGGCAGTAAGGAGAAAGCTTTGGGAGGCTATGGAAGAGTTTACTTCAGTGGTTAGAATACCACGGATGATGATTGGGGATTTCAATGACATTAGCACCAGTGCCGAAAAGTTTGGAGGGGCTGATGTTACAATAAACAGATGCATGAGATTTAATAGTATGGTTGCAAATTGTGGGCTTTCAGATCTTGGATTTCAGGGTCCTTCATATACGTGGACAAATAGGAGGAAGAAGGGTCAGCGAATTCATGAAAGATTAGACAGAGCTTTAGCTAGTGCAGAATGGCGACTTCTCTTCCCTGAGGCTATAGTCAAACACTTACCGAGATTTTACTCGGACCATTGTCCAATTCTAGTGCAATGTAAGGAGGAAATTCCGATTGATTCTTCCAAAAAGCCATTTAGATTTCAAGCAATGTGGCTTACTCATAAAGAGGGTCCTGATTACATAGCCAATTGTTGGGGCAATGCGGAAGGGGACTTAATGGCCAAATCTGCATCTTTAGTGGAAGCATTGAAGACATGGAACAAAGAGGTTTTTGGTAACATTTTTGAACGCAAAAAGGAATTGAGGGCACGGGTTCTTGGTGTACAAAAAGCTTTAGCAAGATCAGCTTCACCCAGGTTGATTGATCTAGAGCAAGAATTGGTGTCGGAATATAACAAGATTTTGGAGCAAGAGGAATTGTTGTGGTTTCAGAAATCCAGAGTACAATGGTACAAAGAAGGAGAAAAGAATACTAAACTTTTTCATCTCTCTACTGTGTGCCGAAGGCGCAGAAACAAGATTTCCATGCTGAAAAATGATGATGGGGAATGGGTTCTTACACCTGCAAGCCTCAAAGCTATGGTTTCTGCCTATTATGTTAGTCTTTTTTCTGTCGATAATGCTTTGAGTTTGGCGCGACTTGATGTAGTTTGTCCTGTTTTGCCAACTGACCGGATTCAATCTTTGGATAATGGTATTACCATTACCGAGGTTAAACAAGCTTTGTTTCAGATGAAACCTTGGAAGGCACCGGGGAATGATGGTTTCCATGCAGGTTTTTTCCAACGATTTTAGGAAAATACTAAAGACTCCCCTTTGGAGTGTAGTTAGCAATGCTTTTGATAACGGTGTTATTCCAGAGGATTTGCATGAGACTTTACTAATTCTGATTCCGAAAGTATACAACCCAGAACACTTAAAGCAGTTTCGCCCAATCAGTCTGTGTTGTGTTGCTTATAAGGTCATTACCAAAGTACTTGTAAATAGAATCAGGCCCCTCCTTGGTGATCTTATTACACCCACTCAAGTCAGTTTCATCCCTGGTAGAAATGCAACTGATAACATTATCTTGCACAAGAATTAATTCATACTATTCGACGAAGCAATAGTAGGAATGGGCTGATGGCTATTAAAATTGATCTCGAGAAAGCATATGATAGAGTAAGTTGGCTTTTTTGAGAGACACGCTTAAAGATTTTGGCTTCTCTGAGAAATGGGTGCGGTTGATAATGTTATGTGTGGACAGCTCGAAATTGGCAGTCTTGTGGAATGGAGAGAAGTTGAACTCTTTCCAACCACAAAGAGGCTTACGGCAAGGTGATCCGTTGTCTCCGTATCTCTTTGTTCTCTGTATGGAGCGCCTGGGTCATTTAATTGATCGAGAGGTTCGGGTTGGTTCGTGGAATCCCATTAAGTGTGGAAGAAATTGTCCTAGTATTTCTCATTTATTTTTCGCTAATGATCTTTTTCTTTTTGGGCGGGCAAATGATTCGCAGGCAATTAAAATTAAAGAAGCCTTAGATGAATTCTGCATGGCATCGGGAGCTAAAATCAGTTTTGACAAGTCTAAGATTTTTGTTTCTCCTAAAGCGCAGGGTGGCAATAGGCGAATGAGTTCTTTGTTGGGTATTCCTAGCACTGATGATTTAGGAAAATATTTGGGTGTGCCTTTGATTCATGGGAGAGTGACGAAAGCTACTTTTAAGGATGTTGTGGAGAAGGTTCAGAATCGCTGAACTAGCTGGAAATCTAAACTTTTGAGCTTGGCAGGGAGAGCCATCTTAGTTGGTTCGGTGACTAGTTCAATTCCCTCTTACCATATGATGACAATGTTATTACCAAGGAATGTTACAAGCTTACTTGACAGTATGAACAACCGATTTTTATGGGGCGGAAATGAACACAAGAGAGGTGTCCATCTTGTAGCTTGGCGGGATGTCTGCTGCCCGAAGAGAATGGGAGGCCTGAGTTTGAGGCGTATGGAATTACACAATCAAGCATTGATCCAAAAAACAGCTTGGCGATTTATTACCGAAAGTGACAGTCTTTGGGACGGTTTCTTAAAGCTAAATATCGAGTGGGAGAGGACATTTGGAATTTTATTGAGGATAGGCAGCATGGCTCACAAACATGGTCATATACGTGGAGAAGTTTAATCAAGGCATGCACGTTACTGTCAAATGGACTAAAATGGCGCATTGGCAATGGAAGTAGGGTGAAGTTTTGGGCTGACCCTTGGTTATTGAGTACACCGTTAAGGGATGTAGTTGATCATTCTTGCTATGCAGGGAGCTCGGGTGTTTTGGTGTTGGATTATATGACGGATGGTGGGGGTTGGAACATGGAGAAAATTTTTTTGGAGTTGCCGATGGAACTAGCTTTAAAAGTTATAGGTTATCCTTTGCCTAATGTTTCCTCTCCTCAAGATAGGAAAATTTGGAAGTTTTCGCCTAATGGAATTTTTACTACAAAATCTGCATATCAGTCTTTAATAGAAGACGACATGGTGCCTTTGGGTGGAGATTGGAGTTGGTTTTGGAAGATTCCACTCCCGGCTCGTTGGTTACATTTTATTTGGTTAGTGCGACGGGGTCGATTACTCACTAATAGTCTTCGGGCGACATGGGGCATGGGGAATGATCCAAAGTGTCATTTATGTGGACTGGAGGAGGAATCACTTGTTCATATTTTGCGAGACTGTCCTACATCTCGCAAGGTTTGGGATTATTTTGGTAAGCCTCTAAACTCGGATTCCTTGATGCAATGGCTAGATGATAATTTAGCCTTGCGAACTTTACATGATAGAGTTGAATGGAGGATAATTTTCGGTGTGACGCTTTGGAGAATATGGACTCGGCGATGTGGCTTTGTTATGAATGAAGGTGATGTTTCTTTGGATGAGAGTTCTCTTACGGCAAATATTATGGTTACAGCAGGTGAAGTGATGAAATCTCTTGTTAATCATAAGCCATTGCTCAGCCAAGATCTCCAAGTTCGATGGGTGCCGCCCGAAGATGCGGTTGTGAAATTGAATACAGATGGCGCTGCAAAAGGGAATCCAGGAGTAGCCGGTGCTGGAGGAGTAATAAGGTCGGCTGTTGGGAGTTGGCTAATGGGTTTCAAATTGCATTTAGGTGTTTGCTCCAATGTTGAAGCTGAGCTGCAAGCGATTCGGCAAGGCTTGCTGGTGGCGTGGAATTGCAGTTATCGGGATATTATATGTGAGACCGATGCACTAATTGCTATTGATTTAATCAAGAATGGTGATGCTAAGTTTCATCCTCTCGGCTACCTGCTTATTGATATTAGACAGTTATTGCACCGAGAGTGGAGATGCAAGTTACAACACACTTACCGAGAAGGGAACTTTTGTGCAGACTGGTTGGCTAATGCTGCGTGTGAGCTTGATGATAATTTTGAGTTGCTGCCTGCACCACCTGATGAAGTGAAGAGTATTCTTAATGCTGACACTACGGGGGTCTTCTATCCCCGTGGCTATTGTTATAAGTAGTTGTTATTTCTTCCTTGTTTTCACCAAAAAAAAAAAGTCAGTCTCAAATCCGAATAAACTCATGAATAGTTTTACTTAATTATACCTTGTGGGTTTTTTATATTAAAAATTATATTTATTTTTTTGACAAATTATACAATACACCGTCCGTGGAGTTTAACAGACTACACAAGAGGGTCTTGAAGGGTGACATGTGTCCTCTAGGGACTAGATAAAAATATTTAAAACTTAATCGTCTTAGGTTCAACTCTCACGGAATGTGAGTTTATTTGTAATTTGTTAGTTTATATATTTTATAGGTAGGTAGTTTACTTATGGCATAAAGATTTATTTGAATTGTAATGAGATTTCACTAGGTTTATTTGTTGGCTCATAGATTATCGTTTCAGTAATGTAGCTAATTATGTAGCGGTGTACATGTTTTTTTGTGCGTTTGTAATCCCAAACCAAGAAATGAAAATGATTCTTTCCTAAAAAAAAGGACATGTGTCAACTCCACAACCCGTATGTGGAGTCCAAAATTTATACCGCTGATGTATCAAATAATTACCCTTACTTTTTTTTCATCAAAAAACTATATTAATTTAGGCAGTCCTCTCATACAAATTTCATCTGAAAAATATCATCTCGTTTCAATTAAGATGTTAAACTCAAAGATTTCGAAGTTAAATCAGATACTATATAAATAATGGGTGTTTGAGTATGGGTTTGTTTTCTAAGACAGCTCATTAATCATTATATTTTGGGACAAAATCGTCTCCAATTGGGACCAACAATAAGGACAAAAGTGTCATATGAAAATATTTGTCCTAAAGGCTAAAACGAAGGCCATTGTTATTAGGATAGGATTATCATCTTAACAGAAATATAGGTAACAGGCTAAAAAGGAAGACACGGTCAATTCCAAAGTGTTCGGCTTTCGTTTTCAGGGTCCCCACGTGGGCCACTCTTGTCCAGATTGCCAACGTACAGCGAAGAAGATTATGATGTAACAAGTGGGGGCCCATTTCAGATCCCCCGAGTAAAAATAAAAAAGAAAATTGAATGGTCAAGATGAGGATCAACCAGAAACCGAAGATTAAAAGTCATGAGAATCAACGGTGTTGTGATGCCGAAAGTCTTTTGCTTTTGATTTCAATTTTCAAGTGAGGTCGACTCGTGGCGCACGTGTAGCATGTGGGGGCGTATTTAGCGTTCGGTTATTGTTTGCTGAGTGCTGACATCAAAATTAGAGTCGCGCGCGTGTACTGTATGTGTATGAGTATGATTGGGTTGGGTTCATCTTCATTTTTTTGGATAATTGATTTTGTACTATTATCTTGAAGAAGCATCAAGACTCGAGAGCTTACAGCATATAAAATCTGTTTTTAAAAACAGGAGAACAAGTTACAAGGAAAATTCCTAAATAAAGGACGCTAGTTACAAAAATTAGGAATAACAATATTCCAATTAGCGCATAAGCATTTATTGATAAAATCATCACCTACTTTAGTGGAGTTTAAATCTGATGGCATCCTTGATGTGATCAAAGATAACATCTTCAGAACTTGATGACTTACTATAGAGCCGAGCATTTCTTTCCAACCAAATATAGTAATAGAATGATGTCCAAGTAAGTTTCAAAATAGTAGTAATGCGGGATTTGCCTTTAAAGCCCTGATTGCCCAATTATATTCAGCAAATCAGTCACCAGCTTGTCTAGAGAATCCACAAGTGTACAGAACCTGCTGCCAAACGGTCCTAGAGTAGGGACAGGTAAAGACAAGATGGTTTCTATTTTCAGCTTGTTGGCCACAAAACAGGCAAGCTGTTGAGTTTAACTCCACACCCCATTGTGCAAGTCTTTCCCTTGTAGGTAAACGATTTAAGATCACCAACCAAGAAATAAATGAGCATTTCGGAATGTGAAATTGAAACCAGACTAACTTTTTCCATTCAACTTTGTTCTGTCTATGCTTCAAACTATCATAAACCATAGAAATCTTATACTTACCACCCAGGAAATGCCACTTGCCATTATCTTGCAGTGTATTAACCAAGATTCTCAAACTAAGAAGCTTCTTAAAAGCCCAACTATATCTTGGCAGAGAGGGGATAAGCATGATGTCCCTACCTTTCAAGATATAAGCAGAGACCCAAGAGATCCAAACAGAGCCTGAATGAGCAAAAAACAACCAAAGATTCCTGATAATACAAGCTTTGTTCCAAAGTGAAAGATCCTTGAAGCCAAGACCACCTTCAGATTTTGGGTGGCAAATGGACTCCCAGTTAACCTTGGCTCCTCGACTACTTCCCTCCTTACCTTTCCACAAGTAACTAGCACAGATCTGGCTAATTTTATCAATCACTACCTGGGGAAGAATAAAATTCAAGCACCAATAGTTTTGCATGCTAAAAAGGATAGATTGAAAAAGTTGACACCTACCAGCATAAGAAACATTTCTAGCAGCCCAAGATTGAACTCTTTGAGTAATCCTTTCGACCAAAGGCATACAATCTCTCACATTCAAGCTTTTGGTTACCAAGGGAACACCCAAGTATCTCACAGGTAATTGCCCCACTCTAAACCCTGTTGCAGCTTGTATTTCCTCCATACTTTCGTCGGATATACCAGAATAAAATATCTCACTTTTCGAACAATTCATGGAAAGGCCAAAAAACTGATAAAACAATTCAAGCAAGTTCTTGATGCCCAAAATAGACAGAATGTTACCCTTGGTGAAGATAAGTAGATCATCAGCAAAACTCAAATGGGTTAAGTCAATCTTCTTACATTTGGGGTGGAAACTAAAAACACCATGAGCTACTCCATGATCCAAAAGTTTTGATAAAATATTCATAGCCAATAAAAAAATATAGGGGGAGAGAGGATCACCTTGCCTCACACCCCTTGCACCAGAGAAATAACCCTCCAAACCCCCATTAACAGAGACTTAGAACTTAGGAGAAGTTATACATGCAGAAATCCACTTTATAAAAAGATCAGCGAACTTAAGAGCCTTGAAAATATTCAGAATAAAATCCCAGTCAAGAGTATCAAAAGCTTTCCTGAGATTTATCTTAAGGGCACACCTAGGAGACATATTAGGCCTATGATACCCACATACAAGTTCCTGAGCCATCAAAACATTATCAATGATACTTCTTCCCTCAATGAAAGCACTTTGATTCTTTGTAATCAAACTAGGTAGGCACTGCTTTAGCCTATTAGCAAGGATTTTAGCTATGCATTTGTAGATCATAGAACAACAAGCAATAGGCCTAAAATCAACCATACTACTAGGGTTTTGAACTTTAGGAACAAGAGAGAGAACAATAGAATTAAATGCTGGCAAAAGTCTAGCAGTGCTGAAAATATAAAGAATGGCTTCAATTACATCCTTACCCACAATATGCCAAGCTTCCTTGAAAAAATGAGCAGAATAGCCATCTGGTCCAGGGGCCTTGTGACTATTGAGGCTAAAAAAAGTGGTTTTAATTTCTTGGGCAGTCACTGGTTCAATAATCTTCTTAGCCATCCCTTCTGATAGGCTATTTTGTAAAATATCCTGCAAAATATCAGCTGAACAACCAGAAATGTTAAAATCTTTCTTCCCCAGGAAACTTTTGTAATAGTTCACTGCCTCATCTCGAATGGCCTCGTAAGTATCCAGTCTATCACCATTCTCACTGTATAGGAGTTTTATAGTGTTCCTATTGTGCCTAATCTTCATAGTTTTATGAAAAAAACCAGTATTCAAATCACCTTCCTGTAGCCATAATATTCTGGATTTTTGTCTATAGTAGCTTTCCTTTGCTTTTTGAAACTCATGAAATTCATTAACTTCAGCTTTATGCATTTGAACTAAATTAGTGTCAGGGGAGGTAAGCAGGTTCCTTTGTAATACAACAATTTCAGCCTTTTTCTCAACAATTTTTTGAGGCAGGTTACCAAAGTGTTCTCTATTAAAATTCGTCAGATGGGGTTTTAGGTTCTTAAGCTTATTAAAAAGCCTAGACATTGGATTTCCGGAAACAGGCTCTTGCCAAACTCTATTCACCAAGGGCAAAAAATCATCATGTTTTGTCCAAAAATTGAAGAACTTAACGGGTTTAGGAGGGGAGAATATCTTCACATCAGTTCTAATATTCATGAGGCAGTGATCAGAAATCTCTGGCAGTAAAAACTCAACCATTGAATTACCAAAATGATGCAGCCAATCAGAATTTATGAGAACTCTATCCAACTTCCGTGCAAGAGGATGCTCAACAATATTCTTACTCCAAGTGAATAGAGGACCGATAAAAGAATGATAAAAAACAACAATATCATTCAAACATTCATTAAATTCAGTAATATCTGAGGCATTACTTGAAAAATCAGAACTTTCATCAAGCTTGCAAAAATAGTTGGAGTCACCGGCAAGAATCCATGGGGAGCTATCAATGTCTTGAGCCAAATTTCTAAGCTGCATCCAGAGTCTTCTCCTAGAAATACCTCTGTTATCACGATAAGCAACAGTGAGATAGAAAACCTTCTGGTAAAGAGTAACTTTCACAGTAATATGTTGTTCAGAAGTATCAACATGATTTAAAGAAATATCAGATTTCCATAAAATCCATATACGACCATTAATGGCATGACTATAGTTGTTTAAACTCTGCCAGCCCATAAAATGCTTCTTCAAGATCCTATCAAAATTAGGGGATTTAACCCTCATCTCTAGGAAACAAGCAATATCTACATTTAGAGACCTTATTCTTTTAGTTACATGAACTTGTTTGGATGGGTCATTAAGACCTCTCATGTTCCAAACAACTATATTCATCAAGAAGATGGCTGAGAACTACTAGAGCCTGAGCTAGCTCTAACTGCTTTTGGGTTTACTTTAGGAGTGGGAGTCTTCCTCTTAGTTTTCACCTGTTTCATGATTTCAGCCACTTGAGCTGAGACAGCCCTTTTCTTAGAAGGACTTCTCTCAACTTGAATACTCACAGAAGCAGTGTTACCCACATCAACT